AGAACCTCTAGTATCCCCATATTGATAAATTCAACTCAAGTGAAAATGAATGTATATTCCTACCTTCCTGGTCCAACATCTTTGGAATACACTCTACACATTTTCCCCTTGTTTCTGCTGATACAAATTAGCAAAGTCTTACAACTCTTCTGTAAGTCTTCTCTCAGATCAGACTTTGGGTTTGCCTTCCAGAAGCATACTGGGATCTGACTCTAGTTAGAGCTGGTAGCAAGGAGGGGTAGGGGGTGGGACATGAGAAGTATTAGTATTCCCTTTTAGGACAACTACCCCAAGATCTTCAAGCAGCAGAACCAGCCATATGTATGAGGGGAAGAAGGGTTGCTTCTGCTGCTTAAGAGAAGTGGAGTCTGTGAGTTGACAGCACTCGAATTTATCCAAATCCACTCAAGGGTCCCCACTGCTCATTTCAGGGCCCCACTTTCACATAAGAGGCCTGGTAAAGCTACGAATTCAACTTATGTTGTATGTAATTCAGTGATCCAGAATCTCCCTTTGATTTTGATGTACATGAGCCTTGCAGCTACAAAAGATAAAATTCTTTTGGGTCTCTCCCATACTATGCCTTGAGCTGAAAATGTCAAACTTTTGAGCTTTTCATCTTTTTCCTCTAACCCCTCTAGTGTAGTCACCATCATTTGTCCCCATTTCTTACATGATGATCTATTATGGCAGCCCTTTGAGGTGCCAATGTCTTTTCTTCAAAAGACATTTCATTTCAGGTGACCACAGGTGTAAGCAATTTGCCTACCAGTTTATCATTTTCCAGTGGCGACTAGATCTACATTTCCTTCAAATGCAGCTTAGTCATAACTATTCTAAGAGGCCCATCTTTGAGGTCCTGTTGCTAGTAACCACTTTTGGAACCAAATATTATATTAGCCAGGATTCAGTAACTGCAGAAAACAATACCCCTTTACCAATTTTAAGTAGAAAAGGATTCAATACAGGTCAATTGGGTGCTTACAAAAGCGTTGGAAAGCCTGGGGAACATGGCCACATAGGCTGGGCCTCCAGGAGATTCCCAGACCCGGAATTAGCCTTCCATGTGAGCTGCTACCTCTGCCACCAAAGGGGAGATGAGGAATTAGGAGGCCACTACAGGTTGACTACAAGAAAACATCACAAACTGCTATCTATGGATCCAGACACCCTTCAACACCCACAAAGCTACTGATGGATATTAGAATGCAGTTAAAGAGAAACCTACATCTTGCAGGAGCAATAGCCAAAGTAGCTAAAGATAACCCCTGAATCACTCCTTCTTCCACATCTTGTTTGTGCATCTAATTGGCAAAACTCAACCTTAGGTTACCTTCAGAACCTTGGTTTCAAGGAAATCTAAGACATGAAGGTTTTAGTTTTCCAGCCTCTGCAGCATAAGAAGGTACCTTAGGTGAAAATAAGTATTCATTTACCATATCCACAAGCTTCTTCACATTGGCCTGTCCAAGTAGTACTAGTCATCAGACATGCCCCCTCCCAGTTTCAGCCCCTTTGAAAGCCGGCTGCAAGTACTGCATCTGTCTGGCGTTGAAGACTACCTCTTCCTGGCCCAGAGAAATCTAAAATTTCCTTGTCTTCAGAGTTGTTTGGCTAATCTACACAACCTTGCCCCAGCCACATCTTTGACCTAATCCACTCCTCTCCCCATCTTGGTCCACTTTGTTCCAGCCATATAGGCCTTTATACTGTGCTTTTTTGGAAACAGACTAAGGATGCTCTACCAAAGGGCCTTTGTACTTTATTCCTCATGTCTGGTATGTGCTTCCCCTAGATATTCACATAGTTATATCTTCCTTGCTCCATTAAAGGCTCTAATAATAATGGAACCTTATCAAGGAGGCCCAACCTGGTCATGTGAAGTAGCACTATCTACCACTCTGTCTTCCGTTTTTCTTCAGAGTACTTATCCTCAATCCAGATTATGTATCTGATTGCTTTCCCCCACTAGAGTCTAAGTTCCATGGGGACAGGAACTTGGAATTTTAGTCATTGCTACATCTTATACCTGAAATGCCGTAGGTATTTCAGAATGAATGCAGGCTGTATGAAGAGGAAATTAAACTTTCCCCATTTTGTAAGCTACTATAAATTTTCTAATGCATTACTTGTGTTCGCCTCTAGGTGGTGATGATGGGCCTTTTCATCTGCTAATGTGTTGCTAAGGATTAGAATGAATTTAAATGTTTCATAGCCTCTGGCCTAGAGGTCTAGGCTTCCTTTCTTATTTGATATCTAAAATCTCCTTTAACTCATTTCTTCTTATTCCTGCAGGAGGAAAAAACATGGGCCTTTACCAAAACATTTTCAGTATACCATCTCAGTCTTCACAACCCCATAACTAGGATCATCATCTCCATTTTGGCTAATTGAAAACAGACTGAGAGTAAACTGCCCAAATCTCACAGCCGTAGGAAGTGGAACCCAGATAAGAAATACAGGTTTGGCCATAAACTACTGCCCCTCCAACAGACTTCTTTGATTTATCAAAGAAGTGAATTGTTCTCTTGAGGCTTCAAGAGAATTCCAAGTTTTGAGTTGATAATTTGCGTTTCAGAGATCTCCAGGCTGTCTGCCTCTTTTTCCAACAAGTTCTCTTTTTCACACAAGTACACGCCCCCTTCAGGGAACATTCTTCCAGAAATCCAAAGTCCACTAACAGCATTTCCTGTCCTAGGTGCAGGGAAATGTGTGAAGTCTGGCTGCAGTGCCCAAGAGATAAGAATCTTCCAAGCTGGCTGTTGTCCAGACTTGCCCTCCTCATTGTAGTAAAACACTGGCCAGGAAGACAAAAGTGCATCTGTGAAAGGAAACAGAAAGCCATCTGGTCCTCAGGGAAAGGAGGATTTCAATTTTTCCTCTGGGCCCAGGGCTAAGGTGATAGAGGTCTGACACTGGAAGCTCTTTAAATGCAATCTGAGGGCTGGGTGAGGTGGCTTATGCCTGTAATCCCAGCACTTTAGGAGGCCAAGGGCGGGGGAATCACTTGAGGTCAGGAGTTCCAGACCAGCCTGGCCAAAATGGCAAAACCCCGTATCTACTAAAAATACAAAAATTAGCCGGGCGTGGTGGCACGCACCGGTAATCCCAGCTACTCGGGAGTCTGAGACTTGAGAATCACTTGAACCCAGGAGGCAGAGGTTGCAGTGTGCCAAAATCATGCCACTGCACTCCACCCTGGGGGACAGGGCCAGACTCCGTCTCTAAATACATAAATAAAATCTAAAAGTTGGGGAAGTTAGGGGCATGAAACGGACTCATATAGTCAAAGTAAGTCACTGCAAGATTTGGAATCTGACATCAGGTTTCACGAGTCTTCTAATTTTCTTGCTATAGTATATATAAGCTTTAATTTCTAAGGACATTATTTTATTTTTTCAGACGGAGTCTCACTCTGTCGCCCAGGCTGGAGTGCAATGGTGCGATCTTGGCTCACTGCAACCTCTGCTTCCTGAGTTCAAGTGATTCTCCTGCCTCAGCCTCCTGAGTAGCTGGACTACAGGCACCTGCCACCATGCCCAGCTTATTTTTGTATTTTTAGTGGAGATAGGGTTTCACCATGTTGGCCAGGATGGTCTTGATCTCCCGACCTTGTGATTCACCCGCCTCAGCCTCCCAAAGTGCTGGGATTGCCCGCATGAGCCACTGCCCCTGGCTCATTATTTTTTTATTTTATTTTTGAGATGGAGTCTCCCTCTGCCGCCCAGGCTGCAGTGCAGTAGGTGATCTCAGCTCACTGCAACCAGCACCTCCCAGGTTCAAGCGATTTTCATGCCTCAGCCTCCCGAGTGGCTGGAGTTACAGACACATGCCACCAGGCCTGGCTAACTTTTGTATTTTTAGTAGAAATGGGGGTTTCACCATGTTGACCAGGCTGGCCTCGAACTCCTGACCTCAAGTAATCTGCCTGCCTCAGGCTCCCAAAGTGCTGGGATTACAGGCGTGAGCCACTGTGCTTGGCCAGGACATTATTTTATACAGAGCCAAAACTCCTCGTAGTACAAACTTAGCTCAATTTTGACAAATTTGTAAGATCAGATAAATATGTTTAGAGATTTTGAGGGCATATCCCCTCCTTTCATTACAAATCTCACATTCCTTAGTCCCTTTTATTTAAACCAGATTAGAAAACCTGAGAAAGTTTTTTAGAACATGGAGTGGTATACCTGAGAGCACAGCAAACACCTATGTCATTGCTTTGTGATTACGTGCATCAGTATATTTCTTCCTCCAGTAACAGAATATTCTGTTCTCCAACTTGTAACCATGCAACATTCACTGAGAACTCTTTTTTTATGAGACAGGGTCTCCGTCACCCAGTCTGGAGTTGCAGGGATCTCAGCTCCCTGCAACCTCTGCCTCCCCAGGCTCAAGCAATTCTCCTGCCACAGCCTCCTGAGTAGCTGGGATTACAGGTGTGCACAATGACTGCCTGGCCAATTTTTGTACTTTTAGCAGAGGCGTGGTTTCACCATGTTGGCCAGGCAGGTCTCAAACACCTGACCTCAAATGATCCACCTGCCTTGGCCTCCCACAGTGCTCGGATTATAGGCGTGAGCCACCGTGCCTGGCCACTGAGAATTCTCTTAAGAGCTACCTGGGACTGCCACTCCTTCCCTCCTCTGAAGCATATGACTAATAGTGACTATAATGAAGAAAAGGGTAGATAAAGCTTTAAGAGTAAATTGCACAGTTGCCTCTAGAGGGCAAACAAGGTTAGTTTTAATCTACTGCTTCCCTGTTCAGCTGACTCAGCTAATAATTCTTCAGTCTGACTACAAATTCCAAAACAAACCTAGCTTTGCTTCCTGTCATGCTAGAAGTCAGGTTTATAGATGACTATTGTGGTTGGATTTGAATACAATCCTTCTTCCCTGGGATTAGAAAAATTCAGGTCTAGAGACTGTCAAAGATGGTGCTCTGTTACAATCAAACACTTGGCTCTGTGGGACTATCCAAGCCAAGGAAAATGAGTTAAGTTGAATTATGACAGAAATCTTTATTAAAATGTGTCTTTCAGTAATATGTTTAGCATTCAATATACACACATACATATGTACACTCTTTGACACACCTCACGGATTGCCGCCATCAGTTTAACCAATAAATTAAAACTAAAAAGAGGGAGGGGAGGGGAGGGGGACTAACGCCAAACTTTTCATGTTTTATCTGGTAAGAAATTGTGAATTTCTCAGAATTTCCCTGGGTGAAAACCTGTGACCAGAGAATCTTTGAAATAAAATACATAAATCCCTACCCCTTGCCAAAAAAAAAAAAAAAAAAAAAAAAAAAATCCAAAAGATGCAGTTACAAGTGTGCTTCTCAGAACAGGAGCATACATTCCACTTCATACTCTGGCTTCTCCACCTTCTGGCTTCAAGACAGTTTGTCCCTCGGCTAGGGCAGAGAGGTTCATATGGGCACTTGGGCTCGGTGCACCTTGGGCTCTGGGGGTCGAGGGGCAGGCTGCAGTATGGGAGCGGGGGGAGCCACACTCATCTGAAGTGATGTCTGGCACATCGTCTGACTGTGTATCAGAGCTCTCTAGGTCACTGCGGATGCTTTCAGGCTGGGCCAGGCTGATGTCCCAAGGTTTGCTGGCCAGGCAGTCTTTCTGTTCACAGCTTTGGTGTCTGCAGGGGGGATCCTCTTCACTGCCTCCGCCACCACTACCTTCTTCTTCATTCTCTGCCATCTGAGCATGAACATGGAGCGAGTCCTCCGTGCTGCTTCCACTCACCAGCTGATAGTGGCTTGGTTTGGCTTCAATGTCCACTTGGATTTCCATGTTGTTGCATTCTCTGTGGAGACAAAATCCACTTTGCTGAGTCATGCTAAACCTGTTGGTAAAAGCAGTTTGTGGGTTCAGGATTAGGAATTTCAAAAAGATAGGTAAAGAGTGAGCTAGAGCTCACTTTTAACAAAAATAACATTTTAATCTAACACTCAAATGAGATGGAGGCTGGATGTGGTGGCTCATGCCTATAACCCCAGTGCTTTGGGAGGTCGAGGTGGGAGGATCGCCTGAGTCCAGGAGTTTGAGACCAGCTGGGGCAACAAAGTCAGACCCTGTTTCTAAAATGAAAAAACATTAACTGGGCATGGAGGCACATCCTGTAGTCCCAGCTACTCGGGAGGCTGAGTGGGAAGATCACTTGAGCCCAGGAGTTCAAGGCTGCAGTGAGCTATGATTGTGCCACTACACTCCAGCGTGGTTGACAGAGCAAGCCCCTGTCTCTAAAAAAATAAAAATAAAAATAAATTACATGGAGAAGAGGAATTAGGTCCTTTTTGCTGATTTAACTATACATGCACACGTGTGCTCAGATGCACACACACATATATCTCAGTCAATCTCTTTTAACATATAGAAAGAGCTGCCAAAATTCAACTAAGGGTCAGAGCCCCACGCTAGCTTACTCAAAATAGAAAAGTAAAAGTTTTTTACTACCATGCCACAAGTAGAAGAAGCCAGAATACCTACCAGTGGGAGTACCACAATCACACCATCCCAGATACACTAGTTTCTCAAAATGAAAGAGAAAGAAGCTATGGGAACCCTATCAAGCAAAGGGCAAGCAGAAACCCTAGACTCGAAGACATCAATGAACCCCAATCTAGCTCTTTAAGTTCCATGTAATTATACACTGTTGCAATAGCCAAAAACGACAAAAAATAAAAAAAAAAGAATGAAAAAAATATATAAAAGGAAGAAAGAAATCTCTAAAAATCAAGTACTAACAAGAAGAATCAAGAGATGCCAAACACTCTAGTACCAAGAACTTGCTCAAATGAATTCACAGGTTACACTATATATCCCACGAAATGGTACACAGAACTCTAACATGAGGCATTGAACTTCTGAAGACCTAGTACCCAACCAAAAAATGCAACCTCTCCTGGACATCTGACTGTTCACATACCTGTCCTGTGGGTTGTAGGAACTGATTATGGAACCGGCCATAGCACGAGTGCTTGCGTTGTCACTAATTGCACCAAGACTGGCTGTGTCTTTGGGGAAAATTTCCTTTTGGACATCGGCTTGAACTTCTAACCTGTGTAAAGAGGGGACGTTCAAGTTAATATGAGACCTGAGTATTCCAAGACAGTCTGCTTCCTGGCACACATCTCTTCCATTACTCTCCTGCAAACTGTGGTTGTCTGATCTCCAATTGTCAAACAGCGCAAATAGATGCCCATACATTTTTTCTCTTAAATATCTATTGAAATCGTCCCCTCCTTTCTATCCCCACAGCTACTGCTTAACTTCAGATTTTCATCATCTCCTGCCTGGATGACTACAATTGGGCTCCCTCTCCAGTAGCCCTTAAGTCCAAGTCAAACAACCTCTAGAACAGTGCCAGTGTGAATAAAGAACCAATCACTCTAACAATTCTCTAACTCTTGGCTCCCTACTGCCAACAGGCATTTAAGATCTTCCTGATCTGCCAGGAAGCTCTCTGTCCAGTTCTATTACTCCCTATAGATCCAAAATCATAGTCACTCTGAATTTTTTCTTTCTTTAAATACCTATACATTTTATACTTCCGTGACTTTGCACACGCTATTCCGTCTCTCTAGACATTTCCTTTCTCTACCAGACAAACTTATACTCAGTCCTTAACAACAAAGGAAACATCACTTCCCCTTTCATCCCAGCAAACCATTCACTTCTTGTTAAGTACTCCCATAGCACCTGCCTACTTATTATTTTTTTTTAGAGGGAGTCTCACTCTGTCACCCAGGCTGGAGTGTAGTGGCACGACCTCGGCTCACTGCAACCTCTGCCTCCCAGGTTCAACCGATTCTCCTGCCTCAGCCTCCCAAGTAGCTGGGATTACAGGTTCCCACCACCACACCCAGCTAATTTTTGTATTTTTAGTAAAGATGGAGTTTTACCATGTTGGCCGGGCTGGTCTTGAACTCCTAACCTCAGGTGATCACCCACCTAAAAAAGGTGCTGGGATTACAGGCATGCGCAGGCCCTGCCTACTCATTATCATGCATCTCTCACTCCTCTGTTAACTCCACAAAAGGAGAAATCACAACTCATTCATACTTTACCTTCCCTGCCTTGCACGTAATAGCAAATCAAACATTTAACAATCAAATTACCGCCAGGGAATGAGACTGAAGGACATATAGGAGCCAACCTCTTCCCTCCTCTTGGAGCAGCAAACTTTCCCAGTAGTATCTCAGAGCCCATAACTATTTCCTTTCTTGGCTCCAACACCACTTTGTTGCACACTTAAGTATTTCCTCATAATGGGTTTCACAGTCAAACCCATCTGACTCATTCATTTCCTATAAAATAAAGGCTTTCACAGAACTAGAACAGCTGGACTGGCTAAGCTGCAGTTTCAGCAAGTCAGTCTCCAATTATGTCTGTCTGCTTATTTACAGGGGTGTTGGTTTTAAGAAAGCACAGCAGTGAATACGCCAGCATGTGGGGGCGGGATCCCCTGACAAGAGACAACCAGAGTCATGAGATGCACAGACGGGTCAGTAGCAGCCTGCAGCTGCACATTCAAGCAGCTTCCATCCTACTGCCTGAGCCTTTGCTCTGCTGCTCCAGCCTCAGGTGCCCTTCAAAAATGTGCCAAGGCCCAGGGAAATGAGGGAATGCATGGAAAGTGCATAGTGTCAGAGACCTGGGGTCTAGTTTCAGGTCTGCCACAGAATCACTCTGAGTTGGAAGAGTCTTTCAGAAAGGCCTCCTACTTACACGGTTCTCAGATGCTGGTTCATGCAACGGCTGTACTAGAATTACCTGGGGAACTTTTTCAAAACACAGATCACCCCCTAGGTGCCACTCCAGGAAATTCTAAGTTATAAATTCTGGGATGGGGCCCTGAAGTCTATTTTTAGGAGGCTCCCAGGTGACTGACAGGCACTCAGGTGTGAGATCCAGTCCACCTGCCATCTGTTGCTCGAATCCTTCTTATAGCCAAATGGCCATCTGGTCTCACTGTAAACATTTCCAGGGATAGGCAGCTCAGTATCTACTAAGGTAGCCTTTTTCCTCTTTGGGCTTTCAGGTTGCTTTTCCCTATATTCACTATACTGAACAAAAATTAGTTTCCCTTTAGCTTCTGTCAAGTCATAAATATACATGACTATAATCTACCTTTTGGTATGAGGCATAGAAGTCTAATCCTTTTCACAGTTGAAGGTCCTTCAGATAGCTGAAGGCAACCATCTCCCTCTTCCTATCCTGCTTTGTTCTACCTTTACCCCCACCAGGCCTTTCTTCTCCATTGCATTCAACTAACTGCTTCTCAGGCAACATGTTATGCTCCTCTGAAAATATATACTCTGGTCTGCCTAACTAGTGAAATAACCAAGCAAGTCACAACCTTTTTAGTTACAAAGCTTTACATATTTTCAACACAAGTACATAGAATTGATTTCCCTTACCTAGCAAATGGAAACAGAAAGGTAATAAGGATTGCAATATCAATAAACCAGCTGGGAGCAAGGTTCATGCCTATAATCCTAGCACTTTGGGAAACCGAGTTGGGAGGATGGCTTGAGGCCAGGAGTTCAAGACCAGCCTGGGCAACAGAGCAAGACCCCATCTCCACAAAAAATTTAAAACGTTAGCTGGGTGTGGTGTGTGCACTTGTAGTCCTAGCTACTCAGGAGGCTGAGGTGGTAGGATTGTTTGAGTCCAGAAGGTTGAGGCTGCAGTGAGCCATGATTGTGCCACTGCACTCCAGCCTGGATTACAGAGTGAGAAAAAAAACACAAAAAAATACCCCCAAAGCCCACTATCAATAAACCACGATGGGCTGGGCACACTGGCTCACGCTTGTAATCCAAGTACTTTGTGAGGCTGAGACAGGTGGATCACAAGGTCAGGAGCTTGAGACCAGCCTGGCCAACATGGTGAAACCCTGTCTCTACTAAAAATACAAAAATTAGCCGGGCATGGTGGTCCGTGCCTGTAGTCCCAGCCTCTCAGGAAGCTGAGGCAGGACAATCACTTGAACCCAGGAGGTGGAGGCTGCAGTGAGCCAAGATCGCGCCACTGCACTCCAGCGACAGAGCAAGACTCCGTCTCAAAAAATAAAATAAAATAAATAAGCCATGATACAGCATAAATGCTACTGAAAGTCAATGACAAGCCTAAAGGAGACCACAGCTTTAGGAATTCTATAAAAATGCCTACTCTCCCTTCCTGAAGCAGTCAACCTCGGGCAGTCAAGGGAGAATCCGAAGTCAGGATTATCCTTTATATAGAGGCAGCTATGGTGCAATGGAAAGAACATTGAACTTTGCATAACTGATGTAACCTTTTTTTCTAAGCTTGTTTCCTATTTGCAAAAGTAAAAAAAAAAGGCTGAGTGCGGTGGCTCACGCCTGTAATTCCAGTGCTTTGGGAGGCAGAGGCTGGTGGATCACAAGGTCAGGAGTTCAAGACCAGCCTGGCCAAGATAGTGAAACCCCGTCTCTACTAAAAATACAAAAAATTAGCTGGGCGTGGTGGCGGGCGCCTGTAATCCCAGCTACTCAGGAGGCTGAGGCAGGAGAATCGCTTGAACCCAGGAGGCAGAGCTTGAGGTGAGCTGAGATCGCGCCACGGCACTCCAGCCTGGGCGACAGAGCGAGACTCCGTCTCAAAAAAAAAAAAAAAAAAAAAAAAAAGTAAAAACAAAACAAAACAAAAACCATCAACAATGAAATCAAAATAAGATGATATATGGCACAAGCCTGGCACAGAGAAATGGCTCAATGCATTACTTCTTATAATTCTAACCATTTCTGTCAGAAATTATCTATTTGTTTACCTGCTGTATTTTCCCTTGCCACTGGAGAGAATGCCGCCACTTAGCGTGCCCCCTGAGAGGGCTGCAAAGCTGGCTGTTTCGCTGTAAGGACCTTGCATAACACTGAGTCCATCTGTAGGGCTTCCACTAGTGCTCAATACACTAGTCAGGCCTTCAATGCTGCTTTCCCCAATGCTGGGATTCTTGAGGGCTCTCCAGGCATCTGCCACTGGGGATAGAACCAGACATCTCAAATCAAGACAGCAGAGCATCCAAACAGTGGGCATTTTCCTGCAATGACTTTTCAGAGTACTAATGTATTCACTTAATGAACAGGTACTGTGTGCAGTCGCCACATATCGAGTGTTTTAACATATGTTCATATTTAATCCTCCAAATAACTAGGCATTAGTAGCCTCAATTTTAGGTGAGAAAACTAAAATTTAAAACTAAATGACTTGTCCAAGGCCATGGCAGTTACACGAAACTATAACTCTGATTCCAAGTCCACTATTCTTTCTACTACACTGTTGCTTCCATGTAACCAAATGTGAAGATTTAAAAAATATGTTTGGGTTATGTGCTGATTTTAATAGGAAGCTTCCAGTAGAAAGCTAGAAGAACCTTTGGAGATCTCTGTGCCCTACGTTAGTTACTACGGTAAGTAGAAACCACATTAAAGTAAAAGTCAGTCAAGCCTGTAATCCTAGCACTTTGGGAGGCCAAGATGGGCGGATCGCGAGGTCAGGAGATCAAGACCTGGCTAACACGGTGAAACCCTGTCTCTACTAAAAAATACAAAAACTAGCCGGGCGTGGTGGCGGGCGCCTGCAGTCCCAGCTACTCGGGAGGCTGAGGCAGGAGAATGGTGTAAACCCGGGAGGCGGAGCTTGCAGTGAGCTGAGATCTGGCCACTGCACTCCAGCCTGGGCGACAGAGCGAGACTCTGTCTCAAAAAAATAAATAAATAAATAAATAAAGTAAAAGTCAGAAGACTTGCTCTAGTCTCAGCTCTGTGAAGCTCTTAACAGATAGTGAGACAAAAGCTTAAAAAAATTCCCATTTAGGCCAGGTGTGGTGGCTCACGCCTGTAATCCAGCACTTTGGGAGGCCAATGTGGGCGGATCATGGGGTCAGGAGATTGAGACCATCCTGGCTTAACACGGTGAAACCCCAAACCCTGTCTCTACTAAAAAAAAAAAATTGGACAGGCATGGTGGCACGTGCCTGTAGTCCCAGCGACTTGGGAGGCTAGGGCAGGAGAATTGCTTGAACCTGGGAGGCGGAGGTTGCAGTGAACAGAGATCGTGTCATCGTACTCCAGCCTGGGTGACAGAGACTCTGTCTCCAAAAAAAAAAAAAAAAAAAAAAAGAGAAATTTCCATTTAAATGGGGATAATAGTCCCATCCTCCCTAGTCAGAGAGCTGTTTGTTGTAAAAAGCAAGTGAGATAATTGTGTAAAATACTCTGAAAATTATCAAATACTGTGCAGATATAGAGACATTATTATAATCACTACTACTACCAGCATACTTGGAGTTACTTGGAATCCTACTAGTTTGTACCTGCCACACAGAGGCAAGTACCAGGGGAATTAACCTAGTAACTTTGGAACAAAGAAATGAAAAGCTAAAAATACTTTACCCCCTACAAAGCTCATTATCCAAAGTAATCCAATGACAATCTCCCTGTAAAATGTGCTGAATTTTACTGATTTTTATCTTGTATATCATAAATTCAAATGACAATAAACATCCTGCTTTTTACCTGTGATTGGACCATCATCTTCATCAAATTCAATTTTCACTCCTTTTCCGTTGGCTGTGCTAACTCCACAGCCACCTCCACGACAAAGAGAAATGGGCACAACCCCATAGACATATGCCAGCATAATGGGGACACCAATACCTGGGGGAAGAGAAGGAAACATGTCAGCTGGCTATTAGGTTGCAAGTGCCCTGAATTCTTCTTCCCAGTCCAGGCACGGACAAACTACTTTATAAAGAAAAAAAAGACAGAAAATGGCTATCCCAAAAAGGTTGCCTGGTGTAACAGAATGATGATCAGGCTAGAAATCAGAAAGGTTTGGATTACATTCTTGGCTCCATTTACTAGCTGTATAACCTTGGACCTATCTTCCAGGGTTGTCAATAATCAAATGAGAATGTTATGTACTGTGCCTTGCACAGTAAATATATGTTGCTTTCATTTTCCCCTCTTCTAATCACTGCTGAAATGCTAACCCAATCAAGAATCAAATATTAAATAAGTGACTACTGCTTGGAGTTTAGGATCTCCTCAGGATGTTAATTCCAAAATCTTACTGCTGTGTGAGGTAGAATGATTTACCTGTTAAGAGCACAGGATCTGAAGGCAGATTAACTTGATTCATGTCCCAGCTAAGTGACCTTGGGAAAGTTACTGTACCTTTCTTTTTTTTTTTTTGAGACAGAGGCTCGCTCTGTCGCCCAGGCTGGAGTGCAGTGGCGCGATCTCAGCTCACTGCAAGCTCTGCGTCCTGGGTTCACGCCATTCTCCCGCCTCAGCCTCCCGAGTAGCTGGGACTACAGGCGCCCACCACCACAGCCAGCTAATTTTTTGTATTTTTAGTAGAGACAGGGTTTCACCGTGTTAGCCAGGATGGTCTCGATCTCCTGACCTCGTGATATGCCCACCTCAGCCTCCCAAAGCACTGGGATTACAGGCGTGAGCCACTGCACCCAGCCAATTACTGCACCTTTCTATTAAAATTGTGCTTCCTTTTGTGAGGATTAAATAAATTAATATATGCAAAATTCTCAGAACCACTCCTGGCACACAAAGAGCCACATTAAATGTTACACTACTACTATTCTAAAACAAACTCTTATGCCTCCCAAAGTAATGTGAAGCATTAAACAAATCAAAAGTAATTTTGTTTTGTGGATTTCATGGCAAGTAGAGAAGGAAGATGAAAGGTGAAAACTAGGGCTTAAAATAAGTTTATTCAACCTTTTCTATGTGCCAAACGCAGTTCTAGGCATTAATTTAAGAACAAAAGATCGCACAATCTGATAATTTGGTGTGGCTGAAAAACTTAAAAATAATCATAATCATGGTGCCTAATAGAATTAACTATCAAGGTGGGTTGGCATAAAATGTAGGAGTCTTCGAGAAACATCTGGCCATCTGGCTAAACTACTATGGTCAGAAAGCTGAGAGAGAAGAGATGTGTGGTCCTGACCAGCTTACCAACACTAACTGCAGCAATAACTGGGGATGCAATGACAGACAAAGTCACTCCTCCAGTGATAGCCAAATTCCTCTTGTGTTTGGAGGTTTTCCTTCCCTCATACCTGCTGTGAATCTAAGAACAAAAAAAGAAAATCCAGGTCAGCAGGTTAGGACATCAATCTTTTGCCAGAGAAAAAAAGGACAGGTGACTGTTCATTTGTAAGTTATCTATATATTAAAACATATCCTCTACCCCAAATAGGCATCTTTCTCAAATTTTAACCTAACTCAGACCTAGAAGATATAAAACAATACAGACAAAGTTAAACCAAAAAGAGACAAAATAACTCAGGGGAATGAAGTAAGCATTTTACCTTCTTCTTCTTCTTTTTTGTTTTTGGAGTCTGTCACACAGGCTGGAGTGCAGTGGTGCCATCTTGGCTCACTGCAACCTCTACCTCCCTGGGTTCAAGCAATCCTCCCACCTCAGCCTCCCTAGTAGCTGGGACTATAGCCACATGCCACCATATCTAGCTAATTTTTCTATTTTTGGGGGCAGAGATGGGTTTGCATGTTGCCCAGGCTGGTCTCAAACACCTGGGCTCAACCGATCTACCTGTCTTGGCCTCCCAAAGTGCTAGGCCATGTATTACAAATGTGAGCCACCATGCCCAGCCCAGCATTCTACCTTTAAGTCACTGAGACAAGCCAGGCTCAGGATGTTAATCAGAACTTTCAGATCTCATGGGGGTTTATGAAAATCAATTTAAGAAAGGAAGGTTATTTTTATCTAAGAACCAGCTGGTTTTCAGGCAGCTCTGAAACACAGCTCCTTCCCATTTCCCTCAAACCTTTACCAACGAACCTAAAGTTGAAACAAGCACAGAAACCAGCATGTCTTTCTTACCTTCCTTCCAACATAAACAGGAATGCCAATGACCATAGCAGGAATGGCAATGCCAGCAATGAGAGAAATCCCCACTGGAGCACCAATCAACGTGCCCAGCTGCCAAAGAATTTTCTTCTTACGGCTCCATGGCTTCTTGCCCCAGAATGTACAGCCAGAGGGGCTGCAAGGGAAACAGACTGAAGTTAATGTCAACATTACAAATGCAGCTATTGTTATCAAAGGGCCTGATAACAGCAACAGACTTCTTTTCAATAAGAGTGATTAACAGAAAAGTTTACGGGAAATGAATATATTACACAAGGGAGAGCAAAGGACAAGGCCAGACTATTAGAGCTCTGGGCTCTTTAACTTTTTTGGTTGTTGTTGTAAAGACAGGCTTCCAGATTTGAAACTCCTTTTCCATTCTTCTCTGCTGAATTCTGTCTTCCCTAACCCACCAAAACTGATCTAGCTTCCATGACTGACAATACTTGGGATGCTGCATAGCCTTATGAACTTGACACCCCATCCAGACACACTGCACCCTTCAGCTAATGAACACTCTGATTTGTGTAGTTTTCTTGGCACATGTCCTACCACACCTAATAGATACTGCAAACCATGTTCCTGGGAGAGGATATAAAAAGACCTCATCATAACCTTTGTATCAGTTTGGTATTCTGAGGTTTGGCTACTTTTACATTCAGCCCTTCTGTGCCCAATCATTTTTGCCCATTCTCTTTGTGCTATCTTCTCTATTAGAAGGGATAAGCAATTTTGAAAATAGGGATCATGTCTTATTCACCTGTATGTCCCCAATGACTAGTACACAGTAAGTACTCAAATGTCTGAAAAACTGGAAATGACGGTGTTGTGTTTCATTTACATGATGAATGTTTGTAAATATTAACACATTTTTTTCTGTAAATATCAGCAAACATTTTGCTTGTAAATATTAACTCCTCCACAACAATATTTTAATATTCACTCAATGAGGCTGGGCACTGTGGCTCACGCTTGTAATCCCAGCACTTTTGGAGGCCGAGGCGGGCGGACCACCTGAGGT